CTTTGCTGAGTGGCTCATGTGTGGCAGGTCAAGAGTTAAAAAGGACCTGTCCCTGAGCTCAAGGAACCTGCAGTCTAGTGGGAGAGACAGAAAAGGAGAAGTGTAGTTCTTGTGCAGTGCCCTGCAGAGGGCAGCTCAGATGCCGGCGAGGGCTGAGCTAGGGCTGCATCCAAGCTCTGCCTTCTCTCAGCTGTGTGATCTGGGGCAAGTTGCTGAACCTCTCAGAGCCCCAGTGTTCTTGTCCATAAAGTGGAGCTAATAACACCTATCTCACAGGGTTATTGAGAGGGTGAGATGCGTTAATATATGATAAGGTGTCTAACACAGGGCCTAGCCCTTTGTAGGAGCTGTTCCTGGAACTCTACCCTGGGGAAGAAGGGTCAGCAGGAACCAGAGTCTCTGCCCAGCAACAGGCATCCTCAGTATGGGCCTGCTCAGCCAATTTGGAGGAAGGAAGTCCTCCCTTCCTGGCTAGTGTCTGCAATGTCCATCTTTCTTTGAAGGGACTGAAGAAGGAGCCAATGGCAGGAAGAAGCTCCTAGTTTAGGTATTAGGAAGGCAGCATAGTACAGTGAGCTCTAATTCCACCTGGCCTGTGTTCAAATCCTGCTCAGTCCAACATATTCTGAGCAAATTTTTTTACTCTCCAAGCCTCAGTTTCCTCATCTGTGAAATGGAGCTAACAATATTCACCTCATAGATTTATGTTGAGAATTTAAGAGATTACACGTGTAAAATTACAGACATATGGAAGGTTCTTAATAAATGAGAGTGGTGGTGCTAATAGCAATGATGGTGATGGTGGTGGGGATGTGATGATGGTGATGATGCTGGGAATGTGATCATGGTGACAATGGTGGGGATGTGATGATGGTGACGTTGGTGGGATGTGATGATGGTGATGATGGTGGGGATATGATGATGATGATGATCATGGTTGGGATGTGATGATGATGATGATCATGGTGGGATGTGATGATGGTGGGGATGTGATCATGGTGATGATGATGGTGGTGGTGGGGATGTGATGGTGATGATGGTGATGGTGGGATGTGATCATGGTGATGATGGTGGGCTGTGATGATGGTGATGATGGTGGTATGGTGGTAATGTGACAGTGGTGGTGATGATGATACCAGAACAGTGATCATTTCTTCTTCTCATTCAGGTACCCCAGGAGGTAGCCCAAGGCTGGTGTAAAGAGAAGGATATTCCCTACTTTGAAGTCAGTGCCAAGAATGACATCAATGTGGTGCAAGCCTTCGAGATGCTGGCCAGTCGGGCTCTGTCGAGGGTGAGTTGCTGTGGTAGCAGCACCTGCCAAGACTGCCCCATGGGATGGGGGACCTCAGGAGCTTCCAGAGGAGAACATATTGGGTGCGGGTAGAGAGGTGGGTGGGACAGGATTGCTCATCATCCTAGTGAATCAGTTGCTGAATTGGCTCAACAGTACTCCTATTCTGGAACCACAGAATGTGAGAGGTATAAAGCTGCCTTGCAGTAGGGAGTCAGTGGTCCCTCAATCTGCTGATGATCAAAATGCTTTGCAGAGTAGCTAAAAACTCAAGTCCTGTACCTCACCCTGGAGATTCTAATTTGGTAAGGCTTGGGAAACGATGGTCTAGTCTAATCCTCATTGGCAGGAGAGAAGCCCCATGATGCCAAGCATTTGTCAAAGCAGAATACCAAACATGACATCCTCCCATCAAAACAAGGAATAGGCATATAGACCCCTTGGTATGACGGTTCAACAGACACATGCTGAGTGTGTCCTATGTGCCAGGCGCTGTGCACGGCTCGGGGACCCTTGGTCTCATGACAGAAGCAGGTAGGCACATGAGGGATTGTAATACGGCTA